ATGGACGCGTTTCCAAATCGTTGTGCTGCCGCTCTGTGATGACTCTCGACCATCGGCCATGCGTCCCTTCGAGCCGAGATGCGTCCCGGCCCGAGCCACGCCGAAGTCCAGACGATGTCACACCAGCGTGGGGATGTCACCCAACGTCCCGCGGCGTTCTTTGTGATGTAACACCCCCCCACCCACGCTCCACCCCGGCCTTGTGTCCCACGCAAATACGCCATCATATTTTTATTATTATTACGTGATCTTTCTTGACAGTAGCCAAAATATAACAATAGGTTTTGCCCTTTCTGGCAAGAAAACAGTTGTGTTAAGATGTTAAATCACCAAACAGAATCCTTGCTCAAGGAATCCTGTCTGCATCAACCACACGTACGTGCACACAAAAAGAACATGCTCTGCTAATATATATTGTGCTTGAAACTGATTGGTCCGCGCCAAGTTTTGCTGGCTGGCTGGAAAGACATGGGGACGGAGTGACGGTCGCGTCCGAAGGACGTTGCTGGCTTCAGGTGAAGCTCAAAAGAGATTTAACTTGGCGGTTGTTGTGACGGCGGCAGAGAAGTTCCACCAGGTGGCGCGGTGAGAGAAGTTCCAACCGTCACCACCGAGTGGCCCAGTGAGAGAAGTTCCAACCGTCACCACCGAGTGGCCCGGTGAGAGAAGTTCCAACCGTCACCACCGAGTGGCGCAGTGAGAGAAGTTCCAACCGTCACCACCGAGTGGCCCAGTGAGAGAAGTTCCAACCGTCACCACCGGCTGGCCCAGTGAGAGAAGTTCCAACCGTCACCACCGAGTGGCCCAGTGAGAGAAGTTCCAACCGTCACCACCGGGTGGCCCAGTGAGAGAAGTTCCAACCGTCACCACCGAGTGGCCCAGTGAGAGAAGTTCCAACCGTCACCACCGAGTGGCCCAGTGAGAGAAGTTCCAACCGTCACCACCGGGTGGCCCAGTGAGAGAAGTTCCAACCGTCACCACCGAGTGGCGCAGTGAGAGAAGTTCCAACCGTCACCACCGAGTGGCCCAGTGAGAGAAGTTCCAACCGTCACCACCGGGTGGCCCAGTGAGAGAAGTTCCAACCGTCACCACCGAGTGGCCCAGTGAGAGAAGTTCCAACCGTCACCACCGAGTGGCCCAGTGAGAGAAGTTCCAACCGTCACCACCGAGTGGCCCAGTGAGAGAAGTTCCAACCGTCACCACCGGGTGGCCCAGTGAGAGAAGTTCCAACCGTCACCACCGAGTGGCCCAGTGAGAGAAGTTCCAACCGTCACCACCGGGTGGCCCAGTGAGAGAAGTTCCAACCGTCACCACCGGGTGGCCCAGTGAGAGAAGTTCCAACCGTCACCACCGAGTGGCCCAGTGAGAGAAGTTCCAACCGTCACCACCGAGTGGCCCAGTGAGAGAAGTTCCAACCGTCACCACCGAGTGGCCCAGTGAGAGAAGTTCCAACCGTCACCACCGAGTGGCCCAGTGAGAGAAGTTCCAACCGTCACCACCGGGTGGCGCAGTGAGAGAAGTTCCAACCGTCACCACCGAGTGGCCCAGTGAGAGAAGTTCCAACCGTCACCACCGGGTGGCGCAGTGAGAGAAGTTCCAACCGTCACCACCGAGTGGCCCAGTGAGAGAAGTTACAACCGTCACCACCGAGTGGCGCAGTGAGAGAAGTTCCAACCGTCACCACCGGGTGGCGCAGTGAGAGAAGTTCCAACCGTCACCACCGAGTGGCCCAGTGAGAGAAGTTCCAACCGTCACCACCGAGTGGCCCAGTGAGAGAAGTTACAACCGTCACCACCAAGTGGCGCAGTGAGAGAAGTTCCAACCGTCACCACCGGGTGGCGCAGTGAGAGAAGTTCCAACCGTCACCACCAAGTGGCGCAGTGAGAGAAGTTCCAACCGTCACCACCGAGTGGCCCAGTGAGAGAAGTTCCAACCGTCACCACCGAGTGGCGCAGTGAGAGAAGTTCCAACCGTCACCACCGAGTGGCCCAGTGAGAGAAGTTCCAACCGTCACCACCGAGTGGCCCAGTGAGAGAAGTTCCAACCGTCACCACCGAGTGGCGCAGTGAGAGAAGTTCCAACCGTCACCACCGAGTGGCCCAGTGAGAGAAGTTACAACCGTCACCACCGAGTGGCGCAGTGAGAGAAGTTCCAACCGTCACCACCGAGTGGCCCAGTGAGAGAAGTTCCAACCGTCACCACCGAGTGGCCCAGTGAGAGAAGTTCCAACCGTCACCACCGAGTGGCCCAGTGAGAGAAGTTACAACCGTCACCACCGAGTGGCGCAGTGAGAGAAGTTCCAACCGTCACCACCGGGTGGCGCAGTGAGAGAAGTTCCAACCGTCACCACCGAGTGGCCCAGTGAGAGAAGTTCCAACCGTCACCACCGAGTGGCCCAGTGAGAGAAGTTACAACCGTCACCACCAAGTGGCGCAGTGAGAGAAGTTCCAACCGTCACCACCGGGTGGCGCAGTGAGAGAAGTTCCAACCGTCACCACCAAGTGGCGCAGTGAGAGAAGTTCCAACCGTCACCACCGAGTGGCCCAGTGAGAGAAGTTCCAACCGTCACCACCGAGTGGCGCAGTGAGAGAAGTTCCAACCGTCACCACCGAGTGGCCCAGTGAGAGAAGTTCCAACCGTCACCACCGAGTGGCCCAGTGAGAGAAGTTCCAACCGTCACCACCGAGTGGCGCAGTGAGAGAAGTTCCAACCGTCACCACCGAGTGGCCCAGTGAGAGAAGTTCCAACCGTCACCACCGAGTGGCGCAGTGAGAGAAGTTCCAACCGTCACCACCGAGTGGCCCAGTGAGAGAAGTTCCAACCGTCACCACCGAGTGGCCCAGTGAGAGAAGTTCCAACCGTCACCACCGAGTGGCCCAGTGATAGAAGTTCCAACCGTCACCACCGAGTGGCCCAGTGAGAGAAGTTCCAACCGTCACCACCGAGTGGCCCGGTGAGAGAAGTTCCAACCGTCACCACCGAGTGGCGCAGTGAGGCCATGATGGGGTCAGACTGTGAAGGTCAGAACCCTGTCCCCTGCACGTGATAATGTTCAGCAGCGTTTTGGTTGGACGCAAGGAAAACTCTGGACCGGGGTTCGGCGTCACGCAGTCTTCTCTGGTGGGCGGGGGTTGCTGGCGCTTGGGGGAGCTCAAGAGTCAGCCGGCTGCTTGCGTTGTGGCCGAAACGTCGTGAGAATTTTAAATTATGTTTTATTTTTATTATTTTATTACTTCCCTTCTACGTGACTTTACCGAAAGAACCAAGAAGATGAATCCCTGCAGTCACGAAAGCTTTAAATCGGTGTGTGCGTTGTTAACGGTGGTGTCATAACAACATCATCATCATCATCGTCGTCGTCAGCACCATTACAGCCATCATCGATCATATACCTTTGATAATATCGCGATAGTATTACCTGCCTTATCATCATCTGCAATCATTTGCCTTCATGACCATCATCATATTTCGTCGGTTCAACAATATAAAATCAAAGTCGCCGACCAAACCCAAAGAGTCCAGCTTGACTCTTTTTCCCCGAGCCTCGCTCAAACTCACTGCGGGTGCCCAGACCCCCACGACACCCTCCACACATTGGCCGCGCGCCCCCCAACCCTGGACCCCGTCGCACGAATGTGGAATTTCCGCCACCCGCACGTCGCAATTCCAGACGACGCGGGTTCTGACCGCCCCCTCCTCTCCACCTTCCCCTCTGCCCCCCGCCCCCCCGTGCCCACTACGCAGCTCCTACTGGCCGCTGTTCGTGCTGCTCTTCTACGCGCTGGCGCCCGTGCCGTGCTGCGCCGCGCATCGCTTGTCCGGCGACGCCGACACGAGCAGCAGCAGCTTCGGCGCCGAGCTGGGGCTCTTCTTCACCACGGGGGTCGTGGTGTCGGCGTTCGGCCTCCCCGCGGTGCTGGCGCACGTCGGCACGGTGACTGGGCGCACGCCGCGCCTGCATCAGAAGCAGCGGGAGTAGCAGTAGCAGTGGCATCAGAAGTGGCAGCGGTGTCGGCAGTATCGGAAGTAGCAGCAGTGCCAGCAGTAGGAAAAGTAGCAGTGGCAGCAAAAGTATCAGAAGTAACAGCAGTATCAGAAGTAGCAACAGCAGCAGTATCAGAAGTAGCAGCAGTATCAGAAGTAGCAGCAGTATCAGAAGCAGCATCAGAAGTAGCAGCAGTGGAAGCAGTAGGCAGCGGCAGGAGCAGCAGCGGCGTCTCTTCTTATTTTCCTAGGAGAGGCGACGCATGCGACGAACCTCGCCGCATGCGTCACGCGTTGTCACGTGGGTCACGTGGGTCACGTGGGTCACGTGGGTCACGTGGGTCATGTGGGTCACGTGGGTCACGTGGGTCATGCGGGTCACGTGGGTCACGCAAGTCGGCGAGCGGCGGCAGCAGCCAGCGGTCCACCTGCCGCTAAACGATGCCCACAAATCTCCGCGACCTTTTCGCATTTTCCAAATCCGCACGTGTCCGGCGGTCATAAAAATAAACATTTCCCCCCCCCTCCCCAACCCCGCCCCCGCACGGTCTGCTAACTCCGACCCCGTGACCCCTCCGCAGATCGCGTGGGGCGCGTGCGCCCTCGTCCTGGCGGCGGACGTCGTCATCTTCTCCACCATCCTCGCCTTCTTCCTCGTGTTCGGCCGCGGCGACGACGCCGGCTGGAGCTCCTGGTGACCCCCCCCCACCCCCCACCGCCCTCCGCGTCCCACCAGGCGCTGGCGGCGAGCGGCGTCGACGGCGGTGGCGGCGGCGTTGCCGACGGCTGCCCGGCAAACTTCAGCATCTCCGGGGGGCGCCTGAAGATGGTTCTGATCGGCCGAAGACGGTCATCGTCGACGTGATAAATACGTGTTCTTCTTCTGAAGATGTCTGTAATCTTCGGAAGACCGACACCATTTGTATCTGAATCAGACCCTTCTTATTATCAGCTCTAACCAAAGGTAATCTTTGTCAAGATGAGGATTCTACGGAAAGCATCAACGGCAACAACAGCGACTTCAATTCACCACGTCGTTGCGGCCACCCGTCCCGGAATTGGCCTCTGTGCTCGGCCGGGAGGGATCGGCTGTGTCCCGGGGTCCCGTGCCGGTGTTGTGCCGGGGCTCTCCGGCGGGACGCTCGCCCGCCGTGTTGTCGGTGACCCGACCCGAGCGCCGACTGAGAATCCGCGCGCGTTTTGGCCTCCGGTGGGAAAACGCGGCGGTCCCAACCACCGGCACCTCCTCCAGTCGCTTTCCGGCAGTGAAGCGCTTTGTGTGGGTGTGGTGGGGGGGGGGCACGGGAGAGGGGGGGGCTTTGGGGACACGCGGGAGAGAGGAAAACGACCGACAACCGTGGCACAGTCCGCCACGACGCACCAAGAGATGTCCCGCGCCACCCCCCCCCCGCAACCTCTGACCCCTGTCAAATCGACCACCCCCCACCCCTCTCTGAGCAGCCCCGCCGCCTGGGCCACCGCTCGAGATCCGTGAACCCCGGCGCAGTCGCACCGCCTGCGCGCTCGCTAGCCACGGCGCCTCTGGGTTCGCGAGTGATTCGCTCGCCGCGCCGGTGAGATCCTGGGCACGTGCTGCGCTACTGCTGCTGCTGCTGTGTGTGTGTGCGTCTTCGTCTGTTTGTGTTGGGGAGCGGTGGCGCAGTTGTAAGCGCGCTGCGCTCGCAAGCCGGCGGCCCGAGTTCTATTCCCGCTCACAGCCGACACCAGTGACAGCCTCCCCCCTAGGTCGACTCGGCATGAATACCTTGCGCGATGTATAAACATCGCCACTCGGTGATGTTGCAATTGCCCCCAGGCTACACGTGGGGGGTGGGGGCCACGCAGCGCTCGCTTTGCATGGAATGTGCGTGGCCTCGCCCTGAGCGAGGCCTTCCTCCGTGTCCCCCTCCCCCCCACCTGGGTCGGTATGGAGGAGCTGTCACGCGGTCCAACTGGTGGGGGAGGGAGAGGGAGGGTCTGCACTCCCTCTTACCTCCCTCTACCAATTAAACAAACAAACGCCCCCCCCCCATCGCAGCCACCTCTACCCCGCCCGTCGACTCCACGTGGCCACCGCCGCACCCCCCCCCCCCCCCCCGGGGGTTCGCGTCGCTCGCTCCGCGTTTTTCCGCAGGCACGATGTCCGACGTTTCGCCGCCGCGCGCGTGCCCGGGACCTTTTTCAGTTGCGTTTCTGCCCACGCGGCCGTGGCGTCTCCCGCCCCCTCCTCCCTCCCCGCCGTATCGCTGATCCCTCGCTGCTGCTGCTGTAGCTGCTGCTGTAGCTGCTGCTGCTGCGTTTGAAGAATACAACAGGCTTTTTTTCCACAGTGGACCGGCTCCGTTTTGATTTTCTTCCTGCCCGGCCTGCACCGCGCCACACCGCGGCCCCTGCCGCAGGAGCCCCGGGGGTCAACTGCGCGGCTGGTTCAACGGTAACCGCTAACCGGTAACCGTTAACCGTCTCCACGATCAGTTACCGGGTCAGAAAGTCAGTGGACTTCCAATCGTGGATCAAACTGATTCAGAGTTTGATTTGAACCGTGCTGCCCATGGTGGCCAGGAGATGTTAACTACCTCGCCTGGTATACAGGAGGTCGTGGGTTCCATCCCGACCCTGACGCCTGTTGCATATTTGGAGTTTGCGTGTCTCTCTCTGATCAACACGGTGGCCAGGAGATGTTAACTACCTCGCCTGGTATACAGGAGGTCGTGGATTCCATCCCGACCCTGACGCCTGTTGCATATTTGGAGTTTGCGTGTCTCTCTCTCATCAACACGGTGGCCAGGAGATGTTAACTACCTCGCCTGGTATACAGGAGGTCGTGGGTTCCATCCCGACCCTGACGCCTGTTGCATATTTGGAGTTTGCGTGTCTCTCTCTCATCAACATGGTGGCCAGGAGATGTTAACTACCTCGCCTGGTACACAGGAGGTCGTGGGTTCCATCCCGACCCTGACGCCTGTTGCATATTTGGAGTTCGCGTGTCTCTCATCATCATCATCATCATCACGGTGGCCAGGAGATGTTAACTACCTCGCCTGGTATACAGGAGGTCGTGGGTTCCATCCCGACCCTGACGCCTGTTGCATATTTGGAGTTTGCCTGTCTCTCATTATCATCATCAAGGTGGCCAGGAGATGTTAACTACCTCGCCTGGTATACAGGAGGTCGTGGGTTCCATCCCGACCCTGACGCCTGTTGCATATTTGGAGTTTGCGTGTCTCTCTCTCATCAACATGGTGGCCAGGAGATGTTAACTACCTCGCCTGGTACACAGGAGGTCGTGGGTTCCATCCCGACCCTGACGCCTGTTGCATATTTGGAGTTTGCCTGTCTCTCATCATCATCACGGTGGCTAGGAGATGTTAACTACCTCGCCTGGTACACAGGAGGTCGTGGGTTCCATCCCGACCCTGACGCCTGTTGCATATTTGGAGTTTGCGTGTCTCTCATCATCATCATCATCATCACGGTGGCCAGGAGATGTTAACTACCTCGCGTGGTATACAGGAGGTCGTGGTTTCCATCCCGACCCTGACGCCTGTTGCATATTTGGAGTTTGCGTGTCTCTCTCATCATCACGGTGGCCAGGAGATGTTAACCACCTCGCCTGGTATACAGGAGGTCGTGGGTTCCATCCCGACCCTGACGCCTGTTGTATATTTGGAGTTTGCGTGTCTCTCTCTCATCATCACGGTGGCCAGGAGATGTTAACCACCTCGCCTGGTATACAGGAGGTTGTGGGTTCCATCTCGACCCTGACGCCTGTTGTATATTTGGAGTTTGCGTGTCTCTCTCTCATCATCACGGTGGCCAGGAGATGTTAACTACCTCGCCTGGTGTACAGGAGGTCGTGGGTTCCATCTCGACCCTGACGCCTGTTGTATATTTGGAGTTTGCGTGTCTCTCTCCCCGTGGTCGCGTGGATTTTTTCCGTGTCCCTCCGGTCCCCCCCTCCCCCGTCCCCACTCCACATTTAGAATCAACGTCACGCGTTTAGAACATTTGGCTACTGCCATAAATGTTCACGCGGTGATAAGTCCCTAAGTTGAGTAATCGTTTGTGAGCCCAAGGTCGCTTCTGAACGAGAGCTGCCTTATCTGGTCAAATAAAAAAAAGTTCATGTAGTTTTAGTTTAGCCTCGGGCTCACGGTGGCAGCCGTGATGGACAACTCTGCAGGGCTTGTGAGCAGAGGTCGCAAACGGGTTTTGATTCCTTACCCGTACCCGTACCCGGCCGCACCAGGGTCGCAAACGGGTACCCGTACCCGGCCGTACCCGTACCCTACCCGTACCCAGCCGGGTACGGGTAGGGTACGGGTATCGGGTACCTGATTGCGACCTCTGGGATGAAGCCATGTTGCAGGCGCGGGTGGGTTGATTCTAGGAACTTGAATTGTGAGAAGAGACAAGACGTTGGGAAATGAGTGACAAACGGTTACTCACCAGTGACTCACGGCCTACCCGTACCCGTACCCGGCCGCACCAGGGTCGCAAACGGGTACCCGGCCGGGTACGGGTATCGGGTACCCAGTTGCGACCTCTGCTTGTGAGTAAACAACCTTGTGCGGTTTGCAGAAGTGGATGTCGACCAGAGAGTCGGCCGCGGCGGTGGTGGTGGTGCATCGAGATGAGAGAAGATGATTTCCATAATGGAGGTTTTCGCATGGGTTAGATCGCGTGAATACATAAATGTATCGTTGAACCCGCCACCACCCGACACAGCCAACTAGTGAGGGTTGTCACGTGAACAGAACGTGGCCAATTCGTCACTAGTACAGCACTCGTGTGTAGTGTATAGTATAGTGTATAGTGTAGTGTATAGTGTAGTATACTAGTACAGCACTAGTGTATAGTGTAGTATACTAGTACAGCACTAGTGTATAGTGTAGTGTATAGTGTAGTATACTAGTACAGCACTAGTGTATAGTGTAGTATACTAGTACAGCACTAGTGTATAGTGTAGTGTATAGTGTAGTATACTAGTACAGCACTAACCGGTGTGTTGGAGAGCCAAGCCACAACATTTACAATTCGAGTACGACGTTTCGCCAGTAATTGCAACCAGCTTCATCAGGCGACAGCCAGATTTGTGGAGAAGTCTCAACTGTTTCGTTCCTTATATCGAGGCGTAGATGTGGTGACCACGCTTCTGCGCTCTTGTGCAAAGTGCGGTGGGGGGGGCTTACTGAGTCAACGCACATTATGCACGTGCAGTAAGACTTCTCCACTAATCTGGCTGTCACATCTGATGAAGCTAGTTGTAATTACAATAATTTGCCACGTTATGTTTCCGTGACGACCCTCACTAGTTGGCTGTGTCGGGTGGTGGCGGGTTTAACGACACACATTTACGCGATCTAACCCAACAGACCTCTATTATGGATGATATTGATCGCGAAAGCCTGCTACTAACTACTACGTGTTAAACAGAATACGATCTGCCTGCATTGTTGACTCTGTAAGTTTCACGGCGTTCTGAACCCCTCCCGGCAACCCCCACCCTCCCCCCGTGCGCCCGATTTGCATGGCAGCTCCTTGGCTGACGTGCCTGACATTATAGAGGGGAGGGGGAGAGAGGGGGGAGAGGGAGGGGAGAGGGGGGGGAGAGGGGGGAGGGAGAGAGGGAGGAGAGGGGGGAGGGAGAGAGGGAGGGCGGAGGGAGGGGGGAGGGAGGGGGTGGGAGGGGGAGGGAGGGGGGGAGAGAGAGGGGGAGGGAGTGGGGGAGGGAGGGGAGAGGGGGAGGGAGGGGAGAGGGGGAGGGGGGAGTGAGGGGGCGGGGAGAAGTGGGGGGGGGGGGGGGAGAAGGGGGGGGCGAAGGGGGGGAAGAAGGAGATGGTTGGGGGGAGGGAGAAGGGGAGGGAGGGGGAGGGAAGAGGGGAGGGAGGGGAGGGAGGGAGAGGGGGGAGGGAGGAGGGGAGGGAGGGGGGGAGGGAGGGAGAAGGGGAGGGGGAAGGGGAGGGGGAAGGGGAGGGAGGGGGGGGGAGGAGGGGAGGAGGGGTACTCCCCATGACGCGGCGGCATTGCTGTGGACACGTGGCCAACTGACTCGTCGTCACCGTCACCATGGACTCTCAATCAGTGCGACATCAATCGACAAAGAACACCATCGGAAGCGCGGAACGGACACGTAGACATCCCATCGGCCGCACGGCCTCAATGCAAGTCAAAACTCTGGACCGGTTTCGCCAACCAGTGTCTCATCAGCGAAGTCAGTCCTTGCTTCAACCATTGGTCAAACACAAGCGAAACTCTGGACCGGTTTCGCCATCCAGTGTCTCATCGGCAGTCAGACCCATGGGGGCATTGCACAACTATATAAACAGGTGACCAAGTGCGTTCAGTGGGAGTGTAGGAATGTGGTTCTTCTGCCCAGACCACTGCCGAGACATTGAGGAAGCTCGCTTTGAAATCCCCCCAGCCCCGGTTCTCTCTCGGTAGGTTTGCGAGATATGCCGGCGTGGTCACGCCCGAGTTGCGTTTGATTTGGGGCCCCCAGAAACTGTTGTGGATTAGAGGGTGGGCCCCATCTCCTTGCCCATTGTCCGAGTGGCTTGGGTCTCACATTCGGTGACCCCTACCCTTATCACCGCTCTCACCTCCCCCCCTGACGATGCCAATCACATCCCACAACCGCTGTGATTGCCTTTTGGGCCCAGGGAATTCTGTTGACGAGAGTTGTGGCTTTGGCGCGTGGCAGGAAACGGAGGCGTTTGCTCGTCCGGCATGTGGGACTCTGCCGGGCACGGTGGACATTCTGATGTCACGTGTAGCAGCAGCAGCAGCAGCAATCTGGTTCAGGAGGGAGATCATTCCAACGCCGAGGTCTGCCGGCCACGATGAGTTGGCGGCCGGAGCAGAGAGAGACACGCGGGAAGACACACGGAGAGGAGGCCACCATGTTGGACTTCGACGCCAAGCCGAGCTGGGCCGACCAAGTGGAGGAGGAAGGCGAAGATGGAGTGCTGCCGTCGCCCAAAGAGCAGATCGATGGCTGCGTGAAGACGCTGACAGAGTACAAACTCAACGAAGATGACAAGAAGATCAAGATCGTCCGCACCTTCAAGATCGAGACGCGGAAGGCGTCAAAAGTTGTGGCCCACAGGAAGAACTGGAAGAAGTTTGGAAATTCGGAGTTCGACGCGGTCGGCCCCAACGTCATGACGACGATGGTCAGCGACGACGTCTTCATGACCTTCATCACCAACAAGGAGGACCTGGACACGCAGCAGGAGGAGGATCCGATGGCCAAGCTGCGTGGCCAGAAGATGGTGTCCTGCCGCATCTGCAAGGGCGACCACTGGACCACCAAGTGCCCGTACAAGGACACGCTGGGGCCCATGCAGAAGGAGCTCGCTGAGCAGCTGGGACTCAGCACCGGCGAGAAGGAGAAGGTGGAGGGTGAGCCGGCTCAGGCTGGCGCCGCCGCCAAGACGGGGAAGTACGTCCCGCCGGTGCTGCGTGACGGCGGCGGGAACCGGCGCGGGGAGTCGATGCAGTCGAGCCGGCGAGGAGACACAGATGACAACGCGACCATCCGCGTGACGAACCTGTCGGAGGACACGCGCGAGTCCGACCTGCAGGAGCTGTTCCGACCCTTCGGCTCCATCGCGCGCATCTACCTGGCTAAGGACAAGGTCACGGGGCAGTCCAAGGGCTTTGCGTTCATCAGCTTCCATCGCCGCGAGGACGCCGCTCGAGCCATCGCCGGCGTCTCCGGCTTCGGATACGACCACCTCATCCTGAACGTGGAGTGGGCCAAGCCTTCCACCACATAGACTCATGGACGCAGGAGGCACGGTGGGAGTGGGGATCTACATTCCTGCACGCACATGCACGCACCTACACACACACACACCTACACCTACACACACACCTGCACACACACACATACCTACACACACACCTACACACACACATACATGCACGCACCTGCACACACACACACGTACACATATACACACACGGGTGATGCGTGTGAGCTGGCATATCCCCCGTCGCCCCCCACCGTGACGCCTCGCGCCGATGATGCCTCGTCAGCGTCGCAGAGACAATAAACACCAGCCGAGTCGTAAAAAAAAAAAAAAAAAAAAAAAAAAAAAGAGAGAGACAGGAGGAGGATTTCACCACAAATCTGGCTGTCGCCTGATGAAGCTAGTGGTAATTACTGGCGAAAGGTAGAACTCCAGATTGTAAATGTTGTGGCTTGGCTCTCCAACACACCGGTTAGTGCCGTACTCGTGACGAATTGGCCACATTCCGTTCACGTGACAAACCTTTCTCATTGGCCGTGCTGGGCGGTAGCGGTTTTAACGACACTTTTATATATTTACGCGAACTAAACCCCCCCATAAAAAAACCTGTTTTATGGACGACCTCGTGTAGTTTATATATTCCTGCTCCCTACGGCAGTGGCTCCGAGTCGCGTTCCATCTGCACGAGTCTCGACCAGCGAGCGCCCCGGAAAATATCAAAAGTGACAAATCAAGCCACCGGCGATGGTGCAATGGCTGGGATCACACTGGACTCAACACAGCTCTTTTTAAAGCTTTCGTGACTGCAGGGATTCATCTTCTTGGTTCTTTCGGTAAAGTCACGTAGAAGGGAAATAATAAAATAATAAAAATAAAGCATAATAATAAAAATATATAAATCTATTATTTTCTTATGCTTTCTTTTTATTATAATAAAATAATAAAAATAAAGCATAATAAAATAATATATTATTATATTAAAGCATACTAAAATAATATATTATATAACTTTTCTATTTTTCTTTTTCTTGTTTTATTATATTATTTTATTATGTTTTACTATGTTTTCTTTTTTTCTTTTTTTATTTCCCTTCTTCGTGACTTTACCGAAAGAACCAAGAAGATCAACACAGCTCGTCAATTGGCAGGTCGCGTGCGATGGATGGGTGGGTACACGCGCCTCTTCTAAGGCGTCTTGCCAGTGTGGATGAGAGGGGCCCAAATACCCTCTGGCACACTATGAGACATCTCCTTTACCAGTGGCAAAATATAGTAATAGGTTTTTACCCTTTCAACTGGTACAAAAACTGACACCTTTATACAAGGCATCATGTTTGCAATAACCACAACACAAGCAGTCAAAATTCAAACAAAAGAAACAACAATGATGATGATAATGATATGCACTGTCCTTGAAGTTGGTTGGTCCACACCCGAGACAGCTTTTCTTAGAGCCTAGTCTCCATTGGTATTGGACCAGATGACGCCAAAAGGCGTGGGGGGTGACTGTGTGAGTGGGTGAGTTACTGAGTGGATTAGTGACTGTGTGAGTGGGTGGGTGAGTGGGTGGGTGACTGAGTGGATTAGTGACTGTGTGAGTGGGTGGGTGAGTGGGTGGGTGAGTGGGTAGGTGAGTAGGTGAGTGGGTGAGTAGGTAAGTGTGTGAGCTGGTGGGTGACTGTGTGAGTGGGCGAGTGTGTGGCTGAGTGTGTGAGCGGGGGGGGGGGGGTGACTGAGTGGATGAGTGACTGTGTGAGTGGGTGGGTGAGTAGATGAGTGGGTGAGTGGGTGGGTGGGTAGGCGAGTGGGTGGGTGAGTTGGTACGTGTGTGAGCTGGTGGGTGACTGTGAGTGTGTTAGTAGGTGAGTGGGTGGGTGACTGTGTGACTGTGAGTAGGTAAGTGGGTGAGTAGGTGAGTGAGTGGGTGGGTGAGTAGGTGAGTGGGTGAGTAGGTGAGTGGGTGGGTGAATGTGTTTCTGTGACCTACAGTGCGACCTTCATCCAGCAGTGGGTAGACCATGGCTGATGGTGAAAAAACACTTTCCTGCGGAGGGAGCTGGTAGGAACGTTGGGTTGCTCGGTCAATGGCCAGGGTCAACGACAGCGTGGTGTATTCCGCAAATATGCCCGACTGTGAGGGCGGGCACAAGCCGGCGTGAGTAGGTTAAACGTTGAGTTTTATAAGGGCACCACGGGGTGACCAGCCCCTCCCCACCCAGCCCCACCCCTCCCACCCCCCACCCAGCCCCACCCTCCCCACGCAGCTCCTCCCCACCCTCCCCTCCCCACCCTCCCAACCCAGCCCCTCCCCACCCTCCCCACCCAGCCCCACCCTCCCCACCCAGCCCCTCCCCACCCTCCCCTCTCCACCCAGCCCCACCCTTCCCATTTTTGGATGTACGACGGACGGAGTAACCAGGAGGGTACTACCAGTAAAAAGATTCACTTTATTATTTTATTTAACTGCTCCTCGTGATCAGCCGTGGTGGGGAGGGGGGATGCTGTGACGTCACCTCCCAATGGTCCCACTCCGAGTGCGGATTGGTCGCCTCCCCCCCCCACCCCGCGCGTCTCGAATTCAACGCGTGGTGCCGTGGCCAATGGCAGTGGAGCAAAAGGGCTCGTGCGTTGCTTCGTGTGGATCAGACAAGGTGAGCCTCGCTTGCTCATGCGGACCGTATTGTCCACGCAACGACGATAAATAATAACGACGATGACGATGATTGTCATCTTGAAATAAAACGATTCATCTTCTTGGTTCTTTCGGTAAAGTCACGTAGAAAAAAAATAATAAAAATAAAACATTACCGAAAGAACCAAGAAGATGAATCCCCGCAGTCACGAAAGCTTTAAATCGAAAAATAAAACGATACATTTATATTTACGCGATCTAACCCCCCCTCACCTCTATTATGGATAATATTGTTCAACTAGAAATCTAACAATTGTGGTAGTGGGCGGGGCGAGCCGCATGCATGGGCGTGGTCTACGCGGTGACGTATGTAGCGCTGGCCACACCCCCTCACCCCCCTTCCCCCGCTGGGGGTGAGAAGGGCCTGAGTGGGCGTGGTCTCTGCGATGACGTAATGGAGCTGGCCCCGCCCTCGCTGAAGGGGTGAGAAGGACCTGAGTGGGCGTGGTCTACGCGTAGACCACGCCCACTAAGGCCCTTCTCACTCCAGGGGAGGGGGCGTGGTCTCTGCGGTGACGTAATGGAGCTGGCCCCGCCCTTGCTGGGGGGGGTGAGGACCTGAGTGGGCGTGGTCTACACGGTGACGTAATGGAGCTGGCCCCGCCCTTGCTGGGGGGGGCGAGAAGTGCCTGAGTGGGCGTGGTCTCTGCGATGACGTAGCGAGCTGGCCCCGCCCTTGCTGGGGGGGGGGTGAGAAGTGCCTGAGTGGGCGTGGTCTACGCGATGACGTATAGGAGCTAGCCCCGCCCTCTCTCGGGACGACAAGGTCCAGAGTGGGCGTGGTCTACCCGGTGACGTCACGGGTATTAGCCCCACCCACCGCAGCTGGGGGGAGGGGGGGGGCGCTATGGGCAAACCTCCTCCACCATTTCCGCCACCACCACCACCACATCCCCCCAGCTGTTGTAGGGGCCACCACATTGTTGTTGCTGCTACTGCTGCTGGTCTCACGACCAAGTTAACTGCGCTCAGTGTTGAGAAACGGCGCGACAACCTTTGGGTGTGAAGGGGTCGGCGGCTACGGCGAGCGGAGGAGTAGCAGCAGCAGGAGTAGCAGCAGCAGAGGCCACGCTCTCTGTGTGACCACGGCAGCAGCAGCAGGGGCAGCTGCATCAGAAGCCAGGGGCAGCAGGAGCAGCAGCAGAGGCCAAGCTTTCTGTGTGACCACTGCATCAGGGGCAGCAGCAGCAGGAGCAGTGAGTGAGTGGAGAGGAGGGGGGGTCAGGGCCGTGAGCGATACGCAAAATACAAACTTCGTTGTTTAGGAGGTTCGAACTGTTTGGCTTCGCTAATCGATTTGCGAGGTGGAGTTTCGAGGCGAGACTTAATAACTCGTGGGTGGAGAGGTGGGAGGGGGGTAGATTGAGTGTCCAAGTGTCGGAGTGTGTAGACGATAGATTGTAGTTGAGACTGTGTGGGTGGGTGTGTGTGGGTGGTTGCTGGGGGTTGAGAGAGCTACTGCTGCTGCTGCTACTGCCCTCGAGTGGCTCCCTGGGGGCACGAAGCATCGTGAGACGCATCAGCAGCATCATCATCATCAGCAGCATCATCATCAGCATCATCATCAGCAGCATCATCAGCAGCAGCATCATCAGCAGCAGCACCATCAGCAGCATCATCATCAGCATCATCAGCAGCATCACCATCATCATCAGCATCACCATCATCACCATCATCAGCATCACCATCATCAGCATCATCAGCATCCTCATCACCATCATCATCACCATCATCAGCAACAGCATCATCATCAACATCAGCATCACAATCATCATCAGCATCACCATCATCAGCATCACCATCATCAGCATCCTCATCAGCATCCTCATCACCATCATCATCACCATCATCAGCAACAGCATCATCATCAACATCAGCATCACAATCATCACATCAGCATCCTCATCACCATCATCATCACCATCATCATCAGCATCATCATCATCAGCTCGCCATGCGTCCCCGGGAGCGCCTCTTCCTGCTGGTGGGCCTCTGCGTGGTCGTCGTCTCGTCCGTGTTCGTCTTCTCCAAGTACGTGGACGTCAGGAGGTTCGCGCCGCTGGGCCGCCAGGCGCGGATACACATCGAGAGCGACATCGGTGAGGGCCGGTGTCAAACTCGCGACCACGGCGCGTGTTCATTGGTGGTGGTGGTTGTGGTGGGGGGGAGGGGGTGGTTGTGGTGGGGGGGGGGGTGGTGGTGGGGGGTGTGGTGGTGGTTGTGGTGGGGGGGGGGTTGGTGGTGGTGGTTGTGGTGGCTGTGGTGGTGGGGGGGGGGTTGTGGTGGGGGGTGGTTGTGGTGGTGGTGGGGGGTGTGGTGGTGGTTGTGGTGGGGGGGGTGGTTGGTGGTGGGGGGGTGGTGGTGGCTGTGGTGGTTGTGGTGGTGGATGTGGTGGTGGGGGGTGGTAGATGTGGTGGTTGTGGTGGTGGATGTGGTGGTGGGGGGTGGTGGATGTGGTGGTGGTTGTGGTGGTGGGGGGGGGGTGGTTGTGGTGGTGGTGGGGGGGTGGTGGTTGTGGTGGTGGTGGTGGATGTGGTGGTGGTTGTGGTTGATGTGGTGGTGGCGGTGGTGGTTGTGGCGGTGGTGGATGTGATTGTGGTGGTGGCTGTGATGGTGGTTGTGGTGGTGGA